TAGAGTCCTACGTTCAGGGACAGGAGGAGATGCCTGTGCTCTGAGCAGCTTGGGGATGGGTCCAGTGAGAGGAATGTGGGGCGGGAGAGGTGACCAGCTGGCAACATGGGTCCTACAGGCTGCAGCCAGACTGGATCCTGCCCAAGTGACGGGGACCAGGGGAGGTGGGGTTTGGGCAGAGGAAGGCTGAGACCCAACCTGTTTGACACAATTAACCTGGCTGTGGAGCCCGGACGAGGCACACAGAGCTGGTCATGGAAGCAACAGGGGTCTGTAGCTGTGCTTGGGCTTCTCAGAAAAGACACCTGGTCGTCTGCAGAGCTCCACGGCTGCTGGTGACACCCATGTCTGGAAGCCTGGATGTCCAACCCCTCTGGCAGCTCTTCTTGAAGGCACAGGGCTTGTTGATTCTGCAGCCGCCTGCTGCCCACCCACATCATCATCACAACCAGCTCCATCTTTCATGACTTGGGCCTCACACAGTGGCCTGATGACCCAGCAGGACAGAATGTTGGGCTCCTTAATCCTAAGGGGAGGCGGGGAGTGCAAAGGCTGATCAAGCATCCAGGGCCATGCGGGGAGGGCCCTGGCTGCCCACTCACCAGCAAGGCATCCTCCAGTGGTCACCCTGGGCAGGTCTCTGCTCTCCAGGGATGTCAGTGGCACACTCGGAGACTAAGTGACTGTGCACAGCAGAACACTGGGATGACCTTGGCAGTGCAGTCGCAATTCTGCCCGGGGACTCAGGCTCCTGCTTCTTTGCTCCTTCTGCAATTCCTAACATGGTGGTTTGCCAAAGAGGACAGAGGCTGGGTGGGTTTGGCTGGTTAAGTTAGCTCCATGCCTAGCTAAGGCGAGAAATCTCTTAAGGAGCACCAAACGTACCACGCCTGGGAGAAGCTTCAAGTCTGTGCAGGTTTCTGTAGCAGATTAGCTCTGATCTGAACAGATGCACTTATCTAGTCCTCCTGATTTCTGCCTCTAATATATGGCTGGGAATTCTTCTGTTTGTGCAAAACAGACTGTCTAGAACATGCGCATGATTATGCCAAGCCACAAAGACCTAAGAACAAAAAAATAAAACACTCCCTCTCTCAACTCTTACAAAGTGAGTATGGCACCTTGATGGCACACAAATACCAACCATTTTCCTTTCAAATACAACCAAATTCCTTTCTCCTTCCTTTCAACCCCGCTCAGCCACAGTGACCTTCAACACTCCACCATCCACTCTGCTGCCATCTCCTTCAGAGCTCCCTGTGCTCCGACCTGCTTGCAGCTCTGCCACGCTATCTCATGGTGCTGTACACCAGCCTCCTGGGCAGGTCCTGGAAACAAAGGCACCTGTAGTCTTACACGAGTCCTCAGTGGTCTGTCACCACACGACGTCTCCAGCTGCAGGGCGCAGGGTCACTGTGCAGCTAAGATGCAGCTGACAAGAGGAGGAGGTGCTGAGGCCCGAGAGGGCTTTTCCCCACCGTCCTGACCTGGCTGGCGTGCAGAGGAGCRTCCGTGTGGAGTCAAGCCCGAGCCGGTCTGTGAGGAGGAAGAGGTACGCTGCCCTTTCCACCTGCGGCCAGACTGTCCTGTGGAGCACCTGGATGGTCTCACACTTGCCAAGTCCACAGAAAGGGACCAAGCCTGAGAATTCCGCTTTCCACTCGACCATCATTCATCGAGTCCTCGCAGTAGGCTGGGCGAGTGCCAGTGGTCTGGATAAGTGATGGCAGGACCAGTTCCAGCCACCACTCACCAAAGCCCTCCACAGGGTGTGCGGCAGAGAGCAGGGACCCAGCTTAAAAAYGCAGCTGAAAATATCTGCAAACCCAGAGATCCTGGTGACCGGGAACACTGTGGCAAACCAGTTTCAATGTAACTGTAACRGTAGATCTTATGGTGACAGTAACCACAGGGGTGAGACAGAGAAGTGATCATGCAAAACATGATGGAATTCCAAGAACAAGAGCACTGCTACGGTCCTGCGCGGGACTTGACCTTGGCAGAGGTGACCAGTGGCCTACCTCCTCCCAGAACAACCCACACTCTGAGTCACTGCTCTGTCACAGGGAGGACTGCCCTGGCACAGAGCTCCTGGTCAGATTACCATCCCCCTTCTTGAAGAGTCATTAGGAACAGCAAAGGAGCAGTCCACCTCATCTGCACAAGGGCTTCCTAGAGTTCTGTCCACTGACTTCCTGCTGCCCCCAGGATGCTCAGGGCTGGGATTCTCCATGCGCCAGTGTTGATGCCGTTAGCTGAATAATTCAGGGGAAGGGGGTGTCCTGTGTGGTGCAGGGCACTAAGTAGCATCCCTAGCCGGAACATGCCAGTGCTAGTGCCATCTACTGTCCCGTCTGCTGTGATGACCAAACTTTCTCCCCCACTGCCAGTGTCCCCAGGGTGGCAAAATCACCCCACAGATGATGACCTGGTCACAGTGGTCCTGTTCAGCTGCCATTGCCGCATCCTCCTTCCTGCTCATCCCCCAGGGGCTTCTGAGTYGCTTTTGTGTGAGATGAGGAGGACGCCCTGTCCTGGCCTGTCCGGCCTGACTGGGTTCTTTCACAACAAAGCAGGTCCCTTGTCATCCATGAGCCATGAAGGATTTGGACGGCTGCATTTGTGACCCATTCCAGTGGCTACTGAGAGTGGTGAATTCCAGGGACTGAGCCTCAGGACTTTGGCYGAAGGAGGCCCAAGCCGCATGCCAGGTGTCTGCCTGCTGTGTCCCTCCATCCGTGTGACAGCAGGAAATGCACTGAAATGTGCTCCAAGCCATTCCCTCAGGAGCAGATGCTGCTACTCATTGACCAGTTAGCTGATGTGGAAAAAGCTAAAAGTACTTCCATTACTTTCTACCTAGAGAATGTTGAAATGAGACACAACAGCCCCCCGAAATCTGCTAATGCAGTTTGGTGACAAAGAAGCACTGTTGCCACAACACGGCCAACTCTGCCATCTCTGAAGGAGGCCAAGAGCCCTGAGCTGTGCAGACTGCTGCCACTGCACAGGGCAGCTCAAGTACACTTCTGAAGTAGCTCTGCATCCTTGGGACAGTGGCCCCGTGCTGCATGTTGCCCAGAAGCCCAAGGTCTCTCCATGATCTTGTTCCTTCCTGCTTGGGTTAATTTCAGCATCTTGCAGACAGATGATGACCCACCGAGTCTCAGAAAGAAAGTGGGAGATCCCTTCATGTCCACCAGCTGAAGTGGTCCTGGGAGCTTCAGGACTTGCACAAGGGAAACAGGAAGGCCTGACTGCGGCTTCCGCCGTCAGCAGGAGCCACAGTGCCTGGCTGCTCTTAGGGAGCGAGGGGGGAGGGAGGGTTGTCACAGATTCCACAGGGACGGGCTCAACATGGTCCTGGGACCAAGTCATAAGCACTTTAACAAARCCGGCTTCAGACAGCCTTTGCATGAGAGCTGGACGTGGGAATGTTGGCGAGAACACGCCACTGCCCTAGACAATGGGGGCTTCTCTGCAGGGGCACAGAAGGCAGCTGACTACTCGGGGCTACAGAGTGTGACAATGGGCTGTTTCTCTGTGCCTGCTGTCAAGGGCAGCTGTTCCTAGGATGGCTGAGCTCACGCGGGACACAATCTGAATTTCTATTACAAATGACCCACACAGAAAATTCTGAGCCCATGTAAGCTTACCAAGCATAAGGGAAACACATTTCAAAGCATAAGTGACATTCCCCTGCCTACAGTGGAACCCAGGTCTCCAGGGCCAGCATGCATGTGTGCCTGGCAGGCACTGTCCCCTTCTCCCACGAGCTCCTGCTGTGGTTAGGTGGAGGGCAGGAAAGGTGAGTCAGCCAGGATCCATCCCCAGGTGCACCGGGCCCAGTGCCTGTGCTGTGGCAGGATCTCCAGGGCTGGGCGCTCTTTCTCCTGCCATAGGGTGCTTCCCAGGACTTCAGTCACGACACACTCCTCCCTGCAAACTCTCCTCCACGTGCTCAGGGCCCACCAGCTGGACTCACAAGGTAATGAACTGCTGCTCATGGTCAAAGTCTCCTATTTATGTGGGAAATCAAAGATCCATCTGCCAAGAAGACACAAGTTCCTGAGATGTTCTGGCTGGTGTCTTTCTCCTGGGCTGAGCATTTTCACAGTCTAGGAAGCAAGGAGCAGGTGTCCCCAGGGAATAGGCATGCTACCCTGAGTAAGGGCCTCCAAACCTCGGCTTTCACAAGACAGCAGTGGAGCTGTGGGCAAGAGGGGGYGGTCAGGGCTGTCCAGAGTGAGGGCAGGACTGGGGTGGGAAAAGTCACTCCCATCCCAATCCTGCCGTACCCGTAGGCTGTCTCACCCAGATGCTCTTTGTAGAGTTGGGCAGTATCAGGAGTGACAGAGTGGTAAGGAGCCAGGATGGTGCTGGTCATGGTGGCAAAGGCTTGGACCTTGTCCCTCAAGAGCCTTGAGGGGAAATGGTGGGCTTTAATGAGTCTTGAGATCTCACAGAGACAATTATAATCACTTTTTGCAAATAGTGGTTCTGATTTTAGCAGGAAGCTTTAGCTTTAATCCACATTTTACCAACCAGAAAACTGCATTTTGTTCTAAAATCAAATACTGAATCTAGCAACAATTACAGGGACTTCTTGTCACTATGGAGAGGGTGCCTGTTGGATTACAGGCCATGCAATTGCTACTGTGCACTCTCTTGACAGTCTGGAGTGGACCCACTAGCTCTCGGCTTGCGGGTTGTGAATATGTTGTCTGTCTCCCTTGTCTCTTGGATTGTTTTGGTGGTTGCATCTTCCTTCCTTCTCACTTCCTCTCTCTTTCCCTCYTTCCTTTCTTCCCAACTATATGTTGCATATAACTGAAAATATGATCTGCAAAACAGGTTTTTAATGGCTGACCCCACATCAAAGTGACTGGGACTCCAGCACGCTGGAGCTTAGAACTGCAAGCAAGGAACACTGTCCAGGCTCCTGAGGTCCCACCAGGTCTCGCCCCGCCCCCGGAGGCTCTTCCCTGTGCTCGCCTTACCTTCACAGCGTACTCTGCATCGGTAGCTTTATGCACACACCGCTTGCACACGGAGTAGGAGCCCACCCCAATGTCCTCCTTGATCTCGTAGCCATCGGTGAAGTGGATGTTGTTCCCGTGTAACTGCTGCAGAGGCCAAGAAGGGAGGGCCATGAGCACCCCTGTGCAAAGGCACGTGCAGCCTCCTGCACCCAGAGCTGCGGGTGCAGGTGGAGAACCGGAGGGAAGAGGCCCAGGAGAAAAAGGAGTCCTCTGCCTAGATGGGAACTACGTAGTGAAGGTTCTGGATCGAAATCCCAACTTCCCCGGTGCCTTGGCCACACTGAACACATGGACACCAGATTATTCTGTGCCCACTGACCAGACATTTCTCTTTAAGATCTGAGATAATGGGCATCCAGAAGCAAAAAGGAAGATGTGCTTGTAGATACAGCACATGGCTCCATCTCCTGTCCAGAGTGACAGCTGGAATCTTATGTCCGGGCCTCAGGGCGCCTGCTTCTGACCTCATAGGCAACCCCACCAGCACACTCTCATCCAAGACATACAGCCCCAACATGGTCACATCCAGTGTCCACCTCACATACACCACTGCTCTCCATAAGGGCAGAAGAGAATACTGTGGGATCCAGCCATCCACTTCCCTGAATAGACAAATACCCAAATAAGGTTAATTCTAATTCTTTTTTAGAATTCTGAGTTATGGTTATATTTTGGAAAATTCTTTATAAAAATGTCCTCTTTCACCGACCTCTCAGAGACATGGTACCACTCTGTCCCTGTGGGGCAGTGACGTCCTTGCCAGGACAGCTGGTCAAAGCTGCCCCGCCCACAGAAAGACAGGAGTGGGACAGGCCCCTTTCCTGCTTGAGCTGGCAGATCACACTGCTTTCTGGGCTCCGCAGGGCGAAGGTGCCCAAACCTGACCTGAGGCCCCCCGGCATACACCCACTGTGGCATTCTTCTGGAAGATGTAAGTGAGACAGAAACAAAGCAACAGCTTGGTCTCCATGGGGATCACCATGGCCATGCTCAGTAACAGCGGAAATGTGGGGGAARACGAGGTGCCCAACACCACCTCCCCTGAGCACTCAGCATCCAAGGTAACCAAGGTCCTCCAGCACCCCAGGCTGGCTGAGTCTGCAGGGGTTGCCAGAGCCGGGCATCAGCTGAGTGTCCTCCATGCCTGACCCCCCAGGGAGGATGGAGCTACCTGCACAATCGGGTGAACTGGAGCCTTGTGGAGGTCCTGCTGGGAGGGCTCCGGACCCAGGCTGGAGGCCACAAAACTGAATCCTCTAAACAGATGGTGAGCGTTGGCACTTGGGGGCACACCAGGAGAGTCTGTGGGTGAACAACAGCAGAGTTCAGGTTCGCGAGAGCAGTGAGCTTGGGAAGAAGGGACAGTGTACATGTACGTGTGTCATCTGTGCACAGAGGTCTGAAAAGCCTGGAGTCCAGGAAGCTACTTTAGTCTGGGAAGGGCCAAGGTTTGACTTTCAAATGACAACAACCATGTCTAGAATAAAAACGCCAAGGTCACAGCTGATGCACCTCCTCAACTAAGTATGCACCATGACCCTCCCCTCTGCCCACTGCGGGCTGAGACAACACTGCCAACAACCCCAGGTAGGACTGTCGGGGACAGGGCGGCCAGGCCACAGGTGCCCCTGCAGGGATGCAGCTGCAGAACCAGCACCTGTCATAGTCCCAGCGCTCTGCTCCTGGGGGTCAGGTGTCATGGCCCTTCAAGGACATCTGGACAAAGTTGCTCTGGCCTCTGCAAAGCAGGAGTGTGAGAGGGCTCTTTCCTGTGTCTGCTTTTTCTAAGCTCTGCAGGATTTGTTCCAGAGCATGGCTGCTGAGGCTGGCCTCACTCCATATCCATCATTAGGAAAAACAAGTGGACAGTCTCAGCGATGTGGACCAGAGGGAGCCAGACCAGGTCTTAGCTCTGGACTCCTACCTCTTCAGAGTTGCCCCAGATAGATGGAGGCTCACGTGACTCCCAAATTAAGCGACCAGGGCTGACTTTTTGGAAATGAGCTCCCCGGGTGCTAGACTAGGGGAGCTCGCCTAAAGACGTGGCATGGCTTTTGAGTTTTCAGGGCTGAGGCTCTGTGCCCTGTGCAGAGGGCAGACAGCGACTCCCCGTAGACCAGCTGCCTCCCAAGGGCACGGGGCCCTCCAGAGGGACGGGCTCCTATCCTGTCAGTGCGCTGTGGGTTTTGTCTTTCTTTGACAGTCATAGAATTCTGACTTTGAGGTCTGCTTCTTTTCGAAGTCAGCCAAGTTCCCTTGTGCTGCACTAAATCTCTACCAGAAAAAAGTGGCTTGACAAATGGGTGCACCATAGGGTAAGTGACCTTCGAACCTCAGAGGCACATTAGCATTAGCTTCAAGAACCTGAGCCTCCTTTGGTCCTACTCTGGACGCGCGGGGGGTTTCTCCCACAGTAGCCTCAGGCTTCTCTGAACTAAGGTCAGCTGCCCAAGGTCATGTGCAGACTGGTGGGAGATGCCAGTCAATGGGAATTTGTCAGAGCTGCACAAGGGTAGGGGATGGGCATAGATCAGGGGTCTGTTTTATAGTGAGAGAATGTGTGTGTGTGTGTGTAGCCACATTAACTTGCAGGTGCACTTTCATCACTGAAGGGGAAATCCGCATCAGGTGAGCAACCACTTCTAATACAGTGGCATGAAGCACAGTGCTGTCCCTAAGTTGGCCACTTTTCTTTTCTGCACAGTACAGGACAGGCAGCAAAGGCTAAGAGCAGTCAGTCTGCTGAAGTTTGGGGTGGTCCTTACAAAAAGCATAAAAAGTTGACACTGATTGGTGTGGACAGACAGATGCTTTATATCATGTAAAGACGCTGAATCTCAGCATAGTACTTAAAGAGCAAACATACAAGTTAGATAAAAGAAATTAAAAATTATAGATACAAACAGCCTCGGGAGTGTTTTCTGATCAGTGGCACATCTGATGGTTTTCAGCCCTTGACTGGCATCTCCCACCAGTCAGCACATGACCATGGGCAGCTGACGTGAGATGCAGAACAAACTAGACTCACCTTAGTTCAGAAGCCTGAGGCTACTGGGAGAAACACCCCGGTGCGTCCAGAGTAGGACCCAAAGCTTTTCCCGAACCACGGCAGCTCTTGCACACAGCGAGCACTTAGCTTACCTGCTTAGAAAACCCCACCCTTTTACAGAAACAAGAGTGACATTAATGCTTCTCTTAAAAATCTTCAGCATCGATTACTGCCACCTCAAGGGCAAATGATGTGGCATGATAAATTAATTTTAAGTAGAACTGAATGGAGAATTAGAAATCGTGAGGAATAAAAAGCCAATTCTGAATAGTGCTGGAATGCACTGTGTCTGATTATGTTTTCCTTAGGTCAATATGAAAATAAAATTGAATTCTTTAGTGCATAAAGGGCTAATGAGGCTATGGCCACACTGGCCATCTGTGCTGGAGTTTAAATTCTCCAGGAGTAATGCAAAAGGCATACGCGGGAGTAATTCAGAGCCCACCAGGTCAGCATCTTCTGACCCCGAAGCCCAAGTGTGGTCCTTCCCACCCACAGGCACCTCAGGACGCAGCACCGCCCTTCCCAGCACTGCCCCTCTGAGCACCACCCTACGGAGCAGGACCCTGCAGTCTGCGCAGACCCACAGAAGTCTTCTCCCACTCAGACTAAACACATGCCTGTCCTTCCACCTTTATGTCAACCACGCGAAGAAAATAGTGATGTGTGGGCAGAGGCAGGATGGAATCCCCAAACCCTGCTCCAACTTTCCCATCTTGGAAGCTAACAGTAATACTCTTCACCATGAGAAGGGCTGACCCCAGCACGCAGAAGGCTCCTCCTTCTTGGCAGCCTCATCAAATTCTGCAAGAACTATAGCCCCAAATGAAGGGCCACCGTCTCTTCAGCCAGTCACTGATGACAGCTTTGGTGGCCCTGGGGACTCAGTGGAGTTATCAGGCAGAGTGGGCAATCTGGTCATGCCTCCCTGTTGTGATGCCCTGAGTCTACGGCCCCAGGCCCAAGAAAAGACCCTCTGAAGGCCAGTGTCCTCTCCCTCCACACCTGTGTCACACCTGTTCCGAGCCTGGGCAGTGGACAGGCCAGGATTTCACCAGCAGCCTGCACTCGGAGGGAGCTAAGTGGATTCTCTATTCAGCTTTATCTACTTGTTACTTGCAGTTAATCATCTCTTTTTCATGATTACCTTTTAAATACCACAGAAATGTGGGGTTCCCAGGCAGGGACAGCATGGTGACCTCTGCAGCCCTTCATCAGCCCCCATGCCTCACTGATCACCTAGCAGAGGGCCTGGGAGCTGCTCTGCAGAGCTTCTGCCCACAGCTGCCAGGGCCACATGTGGAGCTCCAGATCCAGGCATGGAAGCCCCAACCCTCAGGTCTGCATTTGGAGAAGGGCCTCTCTGGGGCAGTTAAGGTTAATGATGTCACAAGGGTGGACCCTGACCCAAGAGGACTGGTGTCCTTAAGAGAAAGGGACACCAGAGCTCAGAAGCTGTCTCTAMACACGGAGAAAAGGCCGTGAGGAGACTGTGAGGTGGTCATCCACAAGCCAGGGAGAGAGGCGCTCCCGGAACTTGACAGCCAGCCTCCAGAATGGACAGTCACCAGCTGCTATTGAAGACATGTGCAGTGGTGTCCCGACAGCCAGAGCACACCCAGACAGTCACCACAGCTACCAAACACACACTAGGCCATCCTCCCAGAATGACAACTCCTAAAGGCAGCCAACAGACACAACCCAAAACTAGATTTATGTATGCCTTGGTATGCCAAGATGCAGCAGTGACACAACTTTTTAAACAGGCTTGTTTTTACATGAATAATAAATGTCATTCACAAACCCACAGACTTAACTGACAGCCTCCCTCTTCCCACAGAAGACTTGAGCTAGATGAGAGATCTGCACTGTCCCTCCTGCCTGAGGGGGTGGTCACTGGCCGGCAACCCAGAGCCAGCAGTGAGGTCTACTGAACGCCCTGATGATCGTCAGAGCATGCTCCCTGGGGAAGAGCAGAACGTTGGTTCTGTCACTTAAACCTTTATCACTAAGCCCAGGAAACAGAAAAGGATAACAGGAGGATCCTTGACACGGGAACCCCTGGCTCTTGGTTCTCCGTCCTGGAAAAAYGGCCGTGGCACCCACCTGTGGGCGTCCGCGTGGTGAACTCGGGGTCGAAGTGGAAGGTGTCCTCGGGCCTGCCCACTGCTGGTTTGAAGGGTGGCTTGATCTCCTTCCGGTACAGCTTCTGCAAGGAAAGCAAGGCCGCGGCTGTGGGAAAGGCCGTCTGAGAGCCCTCGCCTGCACCTGGGAGCTGCTCTGCACACGCCCTGCTCGAGCCCACGTCCTATCCCAAGGATCACACACAGCACGGTACACATGGAACAACTGCCTACGMATAAAAATAAATATACAGAAGGCCAAGGCTGAGCTGTGGGGCTCGGGATGTGGGGTAGCAGTTTCCCAGCTTCTTTTTGGCCACAGGATTTTCATCTCCCAGTAAAACCCTATAAGATGACACAGGTGCCCTGCCTGCATGGGTGACATCAGAGCCACCTCAGAGCCTGCCTGCAGCTCTGTAGGAACTCTGAAATCCATGGCCCAGTGAGGCCACATGGCCTTTGTCACCTGTGCCACCAATCGACTTCCCACCAACAGGCTGCTGTCTCCTCTAGAGAGGGCCCACTCCCTAAGCCTGTGCTCCCTGCTTGACCAGAGGCACCTCTCTTGAGATTGCTCCCACATTCCCTTGAGCATGAATCTACCTCCCTAAGTAAACTTCGGCCCCTGGCTTCAGTGCACGCTGAATTTCTTTCCCATCACATATGCCAAGAACCTTGCCAACCCCAAGTCAAGTTCCCCCTCCTGGCTGGGAATTCCTGGCCCTTCCGGAGACACATCTTCTGCCATGACATTCCCTGTGGCCTGTCCATCAACAGTGTGACTGTTCAGCCAGCTTGTCCTCCCTGCAGAGATCGCTGACATGGGCAAAGGTGGCTGTGTGTYCCTCACTCCTCCTTTGACAGGAGCAGGGGACGAAACATTAACTTCACAAGGAAATGGAAGCCCAGTGAACTCGGGCTGCCCAAGAATGCACAGTTCTCTGTGCAGCCAGCCTGACTCGCCAGACTCCTTACCTACCACACCTGAGGCTAGTACCTCCCACCAGGCAGCCTGTGACCATGGGCGGCTCAGGGGCTTCACACAAGGGGGTCCAAGACTTTTCCTCCTTTTTCCAGGAGGAAAAAGGATCCATCATTAGCAGGTTGCTACCCCAGCAAGGGGTGTACAAAGCCTCCTGTGGGTTGGGATCATCATTCAGGGGTAAATTGGCTGGCCTGGTCACCTCCACCAGGCCCCTGTGCCACGGCATTTGGCAAAGCTTGTCCTGGGCTTTGTCCCATCTTGTGCCAACAACTTTCTCTTCCCTCTGCACCCTTTAAAGCCCAGTGCTGGAAGCCACCAGCAAGTCCCACTGCGTGGATCAGATSACAGAACCAGTGGCCTTGTAGACCTTGCAGGCTAGGTGAACATGCTGGTATCCACAGGGCAGCCTGCACAGCCTGCTCCCCCTGCTCTCTCCAAACCTCTGCTGTGCACCACTGTTCAGTGGAGATCCTGACCCGCCCAGCCACAGGCAGGTGTGAGCAGCTGGGCACTTGCCCAAGGGTGGGGCATCCTTGGTACAGCAGAGCCCCGCCATATCCATGGGCTGACCGTGTCTGTGGACACATTGTGTCCACTGGGGGCCAGCACACCCTTCATCCCCTGTTGGTGCCACAGTTTCAGCTGGGTCTCTGCAGGTAGCAAGCCTTGCAAAGGCCAGGGGCTACGTGAAGCAGGGCACGTTGCCCTTCGGTGGCTTCCTGGAAGCTTGCTGCAATATAACGGTGGCTCAATTTCTTCCTGTTGCTACATAAACATTCTGGAAGGTGCTAATGTGTTAGTCCTCTACATGCTCTTTCTTTCCCAGATTCCACACCTGGGAAGGGCTTGAGGTTCTAGGGAGAGCAGCGATCTTGCCTCTGCCCCTGATGCAAGCTGCTGGGCACATGCCCGGCCTGCAGAGGAGCAGCTCCAGTATTCCCTAGACCTTGAGCTTGACGAGGTCCCTACATTTGCCACACAGACCCAGACCCTTGCCCCAGGACTCTGGAACAACTCATGCCCACCCTATGGAAAGAAAATGGGGTGTCATGGTCCAATTCACCAGGCACCATTTAAATACTCTTCTCTGTCCCAGGGCATCATGGGGACACAGATCTGGCCATGCGTTGAGGTGGATTCTGCATCCTGTGAGTATATGAGAGGAAACTAAATAGGTGCATTAAGATCCACTACCTAAAGGACCCTCAGATAAGCAGGAAAAGGACAGAGGGAGTAAAATAGAAATGGTAACTGGCCAAAGGGCAGGAAACTGGATCTCACTGGGGCCACAGACCCTGACAGCTGCTCTGTGCACAATTTTGACTCTAGCATTTCAAAATTAACATGCTCCAATAAGGCAGAGGGCACATCACGAATATGCACGCAGATGAGGTGCAGAGTGGTGGCCTCAGGGAGGGACAATAGCAGGGCCTCACTGGCTTCCGCAGTGGGGCTGATGTGGCAGTGGTGTGCAGGGCATGGCCGGGCTGCCAGGTTTACCCAGCTGTAAGCAAAGTGGATTTACAGACTGCAGAACCACAGGGGATGACTCACTGCGCGGAGTCCTTGTTGGTCCCTGGAAGAGTGGCCCTCCTAGTGTACTTGACCCAGGGACAAATGCATAACATTGTTCTGCTGGCAGCGGCAGCAGCCATGTGGAGACGTGTGGCTGAGGCCTTGTGCTGCAGCCCCCAGCCCGAGCCCTCTCCTGCGCACTGCTGACAGCAAGACACAGTGGCCTGGACCCCCCCCCCTCCCCCCAGCTCCTACCGAGCACACAGCAGCCAAGGGCACCAAGTAACACGCTGTCACTCACCGAGCATCTGGGGCACTGCTCCCTGCTCAGGCCCGTTTCCCAGGAGTCCCTCCTAGCTTACGGAGTAAAGCTGATGATGTGCTTGCAAGGGTTTGGAAATGTAAATGGAGCAGCACAAGCACAAGTCGCTTGTAGTAATAATTAATGATCAATTAAAAACAATAATGATAAAAGTAATTGCAAAAACACAGGCTAAGTAGCTGCCCTGAGGGCCCTGGCCCTGTTCTGGGAACAGAAGCTAATGAGCAGAGGTCCTTCTCCCCAAGGAAAGACACGTCTGGAGGAGCAGGAGCATCATTCTCTGCCCATCCAAGAGCTGCTGCCCATGGGCTCTGTGAGCTGGGGCAGGAGCCACCGCGGGTTTGTGTGGCCCGATCACCTTTTACGCAGCTTCTTTTGGGTTGCTCCTAATCCTGTGTTCTCAGCACTGCTTCAGCCCCAGGGGAAAATAAGCTCAGCTCTTATCTGCCGGAGTCCACCATGCCTTCCAAGAGTTCCTAGTCTGTGGTCAACTRCGACTCTTCACTTAGCCAGTCAAGCCCTGCTAAGGGTTGGAAGGCAGCCTTCTGGGCAGGCGCTAGCRTGCTGGGTGCCGAAGGCAGCTGGAAAGGCAGCACGGGCCAATTGGTGACCCACATTCTGCTCCACCAGGTCATTGTCCATGGGACAGCTGGTGGCTGACAGGTGTTGGCTTAAAAAGATCTTGTGGCAGTTTTGGGCCACTTAAGATTGCAGAGAGCAAAATGAATACCCTCATGTTTTCTCAGCTGGATCTGAGGCGAGTGCTTGGATAGATTCCCCAGGCAGAAGCCCAGCAGCCAGGGACTGTTCTCTCCTGTCACTCCTGAGTGTCCGCCCTGCAGAGGGAACAGTCTTTGCCCATGGGACTGCTCTGTGGCCATCAGTTATCTGAGCCGCTGACCCCCTCGAGGCACACCCAGTCAAGAACATGTAAAACTCTTTCTTGTCAACTTTCCAAAGCACAGGTGTGTGACTGGGGCCACTATGAGAGGGAGGGACAGGACAGCAGAGCTGGAGGGCTTGTCCCTCACATCACAGCAAGGCCTGCATGGCTACCAAGATATCAAGAGCACGTGGGCCTGAGGTGGAGCTTCTTTTGAAGACTCCATCCACATCTGCACACCTGGGGTCTTTGCTGGGCACATGCCTTCTCTCTTCCCCAGGCCCTCCAGGCTGACATCCTTTCTCTTCTGACTGCTGCTCACACTGCTCCTGGACCACGGCCTCACGGTGCAGCAGACACCCCAGGGAGGAGCAGGTGCGAAACACACCTTATCAAATGCAAGAGCTGAYGCGAGAGTGCTGTTAATTCAGAGCTCTGGAGGGAAAGAGATCCTCCCATCCCTCCCTCCAGGCTCTGCCTGGGTGTCCTCTGGCAAGGACAGAAATGACAGCAAATATACTTGGTCCTAAAGAACCGGGAGGGGAGGGGCTCTTGAAACCAGACAAACAAAACCAAATGCCAAGAGAGAAAACAATTTTCAGACTATAGAGAAACAACACCTCCTGGTGCAGGAATCTGAAGACCTGCTTGCACCAAAGAGATGTGCCTAGCTTTGGAGACCAGAGGCACCTGGGCGCTGTTGCTATGGAAGGAAGGTGGCTTCTGCCCAGGGCCCACAGAACCGGCCTCTCACATGTGCCTCCACTTCAGCCTGCAGGCCTGCCCTATGCCATCTGCAAGCCCTGAGACACTGCCCACTTCTTGGCTGAGATGAGCACCTGTACGTAGTACTTGCCAAAGACCCTCCTGGCCAAGTCCTCTGTGGGGCGCTTCCCTGGGGCACAGCTGGGAACTCCCGTTCCTCCCAGCTGCAGCCCTCAGGACCTCCCACCCCAAGCAGCTTCCCTCCACACCCACTTGACCCCTAGACAATGCCCCTTCTCAGGTGTGGTCTTGGAGGGAGGGAGAGGAGGAAGGGACAGTCTTCCCCACAGCCGCCCTGTGCTGAGAGCTCCTGAGGCCCTCGCCCCTCCCCTTCACTGCGCACGCGCGTGCGCACACACACACACACACACACACACACACACGCATGCACCCACGCAAGTGTTCACTGGCTACTTGCTCACTTGATAGGCAGGCTGGGAGCACCTCCCCCGGGCCAGGCCCTCTTAGTCAGAGTTCTGACTGCCCGCAGCTTAATTCTAGAGCAGGAGACAGAAAATCACCACACTAGAAAGCAGGGCACCTTGGGTGTGTTGGAAGGGGTGGGCATGGGAGGCCAGGAGCAYAAGGCCGGGCTGCAGGAGGGCGGCTGGGAGGGCCATGCTGAAGAGCAGACTGGAAGGCAGCCCTGAAGCGAGAGCGGGAAGGAAGAGAGCTAGGGGAAGAGGGGTCCAGGAAGACAGGCAGCAGGTGCAGAGACGGGTGACGGAGGAGGTGGGGGGAGCGGGGGGAGCACGGGGGGCCACCTCCTGAGGTCCTCACCCTCATGGCAGGCTCCTTCTCCTCCACCACAGAGCATCTCCCTGGGACATGTCCGTCCCCTGTTGATCAGCCCTGGGGTAGCATGTGCTGCATCCACTGCTCCAGCCCCAGCCCAGAAAGTGCCTGAGACACAGGCACCAACACACATGGCCGGGCAGCTCTCCKCGACCCCTGGGGAGAGCAGCCAACCCTGTCCCCTCCCTGGGGATGAGGAGAGGCAATCCCTGCCCTGAGCCTCAAGGACTGTCCTGCAGAGGGAGAGCAGGTCCACTGCCAAGGAGAGGCTGGTCTAGGAGCCAGTGCCAGGTCCAGGAGTCTCCCCAGAAAACACATCACGACTCAGGGACCATCAGCTCAAATGACCTGGGGTCGACTGAGCAGCCTGAGCGCCTCAGGAGCCTGAACTTCCAGGGCGCTGAGTGGAGGCTTCCCGAGAGGCGGTGGCCTCACTTCTTGGATGGCCTGCGTCCGGTTCCTCTCTTGGGGAGGGGAAGCAACCTGACTTCTAGTTGCTTTTTGAATGGGAGTTTCACCTGAGGAGAGCCAGGGACCTCCCGAAAGGTCCACTTCCCTCTAATCTGACTGTTGGCCACGAGTTCTGTAGTCGGAACGGGAGAACGGGGCCTTAGAAAGCCCCAGACTTGCCCCATTGAGTGGGGCTCAGGTGGGTGGAGGAGCAGAGCCAGCAATGAGGGCCGGAGCTCCCGTGCAGAGCTGAAGCCCCTGGCGCAGTGGGAACACGGTCCCTGCGAGACCAGGGGGGGACTCCTGGAGGCACCAGACCCAGGAGGACACAGGGAGAGAGGGGGGTGGGTGGCTAACGAGCCCTGTCCTACATAAAGAGCATTTTGATTTTTTAAAAATACTCCATTAAAAATCCTTTGAGATTAATCTGTTAGCTCAGGAAAAGAAAACCCCCAAAGCACGTGTGTTGTGCTGAAAGAAAGGATTAAAGGCAGTTGCCATAGAGGGAGGGAGGGAGGGCTTCCTTGGGACACACAGAGGCCCGTTCCTGGATGTGAGGCCTTCCTGCAGGCTTGTGGTCAGATCTGACCACCGCACTTCCCAACAGAGCCCGGCCATGACAGAAACCAGCRCGTCTCAGAGTGGGGGCAGGTGATTCTGCCATGTCCCACGGGCAGGGCAGGGTTCAAGGGACTTCAGGGCTGAGCAGGCAGGAGGGAGGCCACGTCTGTGCTCTGAGAACCTGCTGCTCAGGAGGTCCCACGACTCGCTGCATGTCCCCACAGATTCTTGTCTGGGCAAAGCTGCCATCCTCCCTCCCCACCCCTCTCTCCTCCCCAGTTTCTGTCACTTGGATGCCACTGAGGACCCTGCACTTAACTTACATTCCAGTCTATGGTGACAAAGAAGGGATGGCGTTTAATTTCCTCCACTCCATCAATGCCAGCTCCTGTCGTGACAAAGCAGAGACCAGCATGAGAGAAGACCCAAGACTCACGTCGCCTCCCAGCTCCCAGCGCTGCAGGCCCAGGGGTGCCTGGGTGGGCCTGACCACTCGTCCTGGGGAAGGAGTCCGCTGCTGCCCCAGCCCCAGCTCCTGCCCCACACTGCCAGCTCACCAGCCCCTGTCCCACACCCAGGGAGGCCTCATTCAGCTTTGAGGGCTGAGGACCTGGATGCAGCCTGGGTGCAGACCTGGAGGTGGCCCTGGGGCAGTGGGAGGAGAGGTGTTGAAGAGAAGGGGGTCAGGTGAGCCTGAACTTTCTGCTGCAGATGTGGGAATGCCCAACCCACAGGACAGGCAGCACCCACAGCTGTGGCCACCCTTCCCACGTCCTGGAGTGCAGCCTCAGGGGGGCTCCAGACTGGGGAGCACCCCAGAGTCACAGCAGGCGGCTGCCGAGCACTGTCAAGGCTGTGGTGGGGCTTCACCAGGGAAGAATGCCAGGAAGGAAGAGGAGCTCAGGCAGGCCTGAGCTCGGGGGTGCTGAGCCCGGCCTCGTGCCCCTCCGCCAACCTAGCCCCGCAGGTCCTGGCTGCAGGCTGCTGACAGCCTGTCTTTCCTCCTGCCTGACTGCTTTCCTTATTTGCTCATATCAAAAGCCTATGGCCCTGGGAGGGGGGTAGATGGGACACAGGGAGGGCTGCGGTGGTGCCCACGCATCCACCTGCACGCTGGCTGCTCACCAGGGACAGCCTGATGTCTGCCCTGGACTGGGAACCGCTGTGCATCCATATCTGCTCCTCAGCTACAACCAATGTGCCCAGCTGGCGTTGACATTAGGGGAATCTGGGTGGGGGGCCTCGCTGTACTTTCTGTTCAATTTTTCCATGAATGCAAAACTGCTCCCAAAACAAGGTCTATTAATTAAAGAATGAAAGCAACCCCCTAAGGCTCTAGGCACACTCCAGGACGGCAAGGCCCGGGAGGGGCCCACTTCCTCCCCCGTCATGGGAAGGGAGGGGCATGGCCTGGGACGCTGGCCAGCTCCCATCCCGGGAGAAGCGTGGCCCCTCCTTCTGCCTGTGGGGCTTCTCTCTCTGCTGATCCTCCTAACACTGCTCAGAATCCCCCTCAGCAGGGTCAGGTGCATCTCCTGCCCTGGAGGGTGGCTCCTTCTGGGGGACATTCAGGGCAGCCAAGGTGTCCAGCCTGTGAAGTCATGGGCCTCCCCATAGGATGCCAATCACTGGAAATGGCACCATGGCAGAGAGGGAGGTAGCCCTGAGGCCATCTAGCTCCTGCTGGAGGCAGTGACATGGACAGAGCCTCAGCAAGTCTCATAGACAGTGGCTCAGGGCTACCTCTCACTCTCCCCTGGAGCCTGGCCAGGCCTTGTGCTTAGAAAGTGCCAACTCAGCCAAACGCACTGTATGGTATTCTCTGCCACTCAGCCTGGCATTGTTGGGGTAGCAGTCACGTGAGGGAAGCACCGGCAGGCCTCAGGCTTGGGGCTGCTCTGTGCCACACACTGTAGCCTACATGCCAGCATGCACATGTGCATCCCGTTCACTCCACACACGCCCAGGGGCTCCTGCACAGACAAGGACACTGAGGCCGAAAGACTGGGCCGTGAGTGCCAGGTCGTTATTGCTGTGTTTGCGGAGACGGGATTTGAAGGTGCAGCTGCCAAACTTAGCCCAGGGGTCCCCGTCCTGGGACTCTGCCCTGGTCCCATCTGGACCTTGCCTCAGATGACCCCCTTGCTGAGGTCCATCTGAGTCTGTCTCCTTTCTTCGGTCATAATCCCCAAGCCCAGAGGTCTGATTGTGTTATCCCTGAGCACAGTCCTCGATGGGTGTTCAAAGGATGCTGGAATACCTTCCCAAAGGGCCTGACTTCCAAGGCTGTCCCGTGTGCCCATCCCTAGGCCTCTGGTGGAATCCAGAACTCCAGATGGAACAATCTGGCAGTGAGCAAGAGGAAGGGTGCCTCCGATTCCCGTCTTCCAGGTCTTGGCAAGTGTTGGCTGTGTTGCCAGGTGCCCCAGGCACTTCCCCAGGAGCTGGGCATGCACACTGCACTGTGACTCATGCCTGCATTTAGGAATCTGCTGCACACTGGGCACCCACTGCATCCCACTGTCACCCATCACTGGCTGTATGATCTGCAGGAGGATGAGTTAGGGTGCAGGAGGGGCAGGAATTGGAGAATCGGGGTGCTGGGTGCTCTTGGGTCACCAGCCAGCAGGCCTTCACTGGCACCCTCACTGGCACAGGTAGGACTTGGCCTCAGCAGAGAGGAAGGTGAATTAACACTGATTATCACTCAGAAATGACAAGTGATGGCGTGTATCAGCCTGGAAGCAGCGCAGGCCTTCTGAGGGCCAAGGTGCCTGTCACTGTGCATTCCAGCATTACATTCTCTCTCCTGCAAAACTGTGAACCAGTTCTTTTGGACTGGGGAGCACTTTATTTGGACAGCACACCCTGACAAAGGCAAGGAGGGAGCAGAGTCCCGGCTGGGGAACAAGACAGGTCTGTGCTGATGTCTGACACCCTGACCAGGCCCCAGAAGCCTGCTTTGTCCCAGCACATCTGCGACTCATCCCCATCACGGAAGACCTCAAGACCTGGAACTCAGGGACAGAGATGTCACTCCTGGTAGACTTGGTGATTCTACATTAAGTTTCCAGCCCAAGCACACATGAATCAAAAGTTCCTGGGAAAATGGACTCAAGAATCCAGACTCATATTCTTCAACAGTGACAATGACATATGCTCCTGTCACTGGGGCTCGGTTTCCATGCCAAGAGACCCTGTGGCCGTCCACTTGCTCCCTGGCCTTGATTTCTTCATGGGGGATGTGGGTGTGATACCCATAACAAAGACATGCTGCTCTGCTTGTGAAGAATTCATTCCTTCACGGCTCTCTGTTCAGCTGCACCCCTTGTAACACAGCAAGCTACTCATTTCACTGTGGGCTTCTAAGCRCTCAGTAGGCTATTCCCCAAAGGTTTTGATATAAAACAAAAATACACTCATAGTTTTCTAACATCTGCAGATAGCTCTGGGGAGTGTTAATTCCTGGTCCTTTGCCATGCTCACACCTTGTTGTTATAGGATCACACAAGATCCACCTCTAATCCTTTTGGGAACGTTCAGAACTAGTGGCCTGATGCTCATATTGCTGCTACCTGCTTTCCCTGACTGGCAGACTGTAAACATCCCAGGGGACTCCAGAATTGATCTGGAGTTATGCTTTTTTTTTTCTTTTTAAATACTATTTTATTTGTGTGTGTGTGTGGGACTGGGGATTSAACCCAGGGCCTCGCACATGCTGGCAAGTGTTCTACCCCTGAGCTACTCYCTGGCCCCTGCTTTTTTATTTCTTAATTGCTTATGGGTTAGCTGAGCTTCACCTCTTTAGTTTGAAGTATTTAATTTTGAAGTGTCTTCTGCCCATTGGAAATTTATTATTCAGTGTTTACAGTCCTCCTCTGACCGTCACTGTGTCCCATGGAGCGCTGCTGGCAGGAGCCAGGGCAGGTGGCATGCACAGATCTCACCAGCCCCAGCCCACTTGGGTTCTCCAGGGATCTGACCAGCTTCAGTAAGGGGCTGGAGCCATTTGCATGGTTTTGAGCTTGTGCTCTGAGACCACCCAGTGTCCTCACAGAGCAGCCCTGCTGGCCCACCCCTGCTCACAGCAGTGGCACTGGGGCTGCCTGCCTGTTTTGCACATGGCTCTGTAACTGCGCTTGGCCATGATGTGTAGCAGGCATGTCTCATGTTCAGACTCTTGCAGCTGCTGTGCCTTCGTGCTGTACCCCTGTTAAGTAAGTCTCAGAAGTGTCACCTGTCACCAGCAACAGAAAAGGAGAAGAACAAGCAGGCCCCCTGTCTTCTCACCTCAGGATCTTGTGTATGGAGGCCACACACCATTCCCTTCTTCTTTCATCTTTTCTTCCAGAAAATTTTTCTTCTAGAAAACTCTGGCCTYCACTTCCCCTCTCCAGCCCCTCCTGTACTCCTGTGCTTTGGCCTGGGCTCCTGWGTGCTTCTTGATTCCTGAAGCCTTTGTTTATCGTCCTAAAAGTCCAGAAGAAGGAGGATCATCCTTAGCCCCAGCCTGGTCCAAGCCTGGGGCCCTGATAGTGTGGCTCGCTGGATTACATGTCACACCTCTGTTGAGGGTCCTCAGCATCTGGGGTGTGATGAGGAAGGGGTGGGGCAGAGGTGGAGGCAGGCGGGTCTGGACCACCAGCGGGTGGCAGTGTGTTGGGGCTCAGAAACTATACCCTGTGAAACCTCGGGGCGAGGTCCTCTCTGACCTTGGCTCTGCGGTGACTCTCCCAACCCCTCATCCCAAAGCAAGCCCCAGAAACTGGAATTCCTCTTCTCCAAGGAGGGGCCGAGAAACCAGAGCCCCTCTTCTCCAAAGCCAGCCATAAACCTTGCTTATCATCTAACCTCTGCCCACTTCTGTGGAGGGGCTAGCCATAAAGAAACCCTCCGATCCRCATTGCGGGACCTGTGCTCCAGAGCGGAGAGCACCAGGCCCAGGAGACTCGCCCAGCAACCTTCGCCAGGCTGTCACATCAGCTCACGCCTTGTYCAGTCGGTGGGTCACTCTTCAACGTCTCCAGGTCGTCCCTCCAGGCTCCTGGCGTKGAAAGCTGTGATTAAGCAAGTCAGCTGCACGCTCTTGCTAGCTGGTCTGTGTTACAGGTGTCGCCCTGAATCAGGATGGGCAGGAGGCGTCCCTTCCCGCCCCTGCACAGCCACGTTCTGCCAGCTGCCCACAGTGAGCCTGAGCCTGGGACAGTCTCTGTGTAGCAAATGCTTCCCTTCAAAACAGCTTTGTAAAAACTAGTCAGTTGAACCATAAAAGCAGTACATACAGTTTAAAAGTCCAATTGTCGAGGTGCTGGAGTGAGCAGGGAGCTCCCCTCCTGTCCTACCCACCCTGGACCCCCTCGTTCGCGATGGCCTGTGTGAGTTTTCAGA